TCCGTTTGATCTTGTAGGAGTCCTTAAGAATAATAAAGCTGTTACTTCTTTCAAGGAATCTAAACTAGATGACACTATTGATTATTTTGAGAATTTCAATTGTGTTCTTCCAACTGATGGACTGTACAAGCAGCGCCATCGAACATCTGAAGACCTTACCGCAAATCGTGCATCATCGTCCATTCCTCCAACTTGTTGGAAGAATCTCTCCCCATCGACTATTGTCTGCTGTACTGTGCGCCATTTGTTCATTCCTTGCATGATTGGATCCAATTGTCTCAATCTAGCTTCGTTGGATCTTGGGTCATCTATTGGGTCTTCGTGGACAATTGAGACTTTCCCAAGTTGTACAGTACCTGGGTTCCAAGGCACTTTGCTGGTCATATCAATGTGGGGGCAATTTGCAAGTTCTTGATCAGTTGGGGCCCTTGAGTCAAATAGTAACTTTGTCATTTTTGCCTTGAGTGCAACAAATATTGGCTTGGTTTCGATGCCAATATTCCTCATCTCATCAAACGGATTATCCATAGGGGAATTCCGAACTTGCGGACTTGGTTTGGGTTGATCAATGAATGATCTAACCGGTTCCCATAGTAAAGTGCTTCGTTGAATATCAATATGAATGTGTTGTTGCTCCGTGGGCAGTCATAAGCGGTCGCCCCAGATACAATTGGTACATTGGTTGGTGGTAGAGCTGGGCCGTACACGTACACATCAGCCGATCTTGGTGTGTAGCTCATGATGACAAAGTTCTTGCCAAGGCAGCAAGTGTCGGCGTTAGTATCCATTTCATTGCTCACCGTCGTCCCTGGTGTTGGTTGTTGCACTGGTCGCTGGGATGCAGCTGTGTTGGATGAGATCACCCTTACAATTTGTCTGATCTCACTTATCACGTTTCAGGTTCTACCGCTTGCCTGTTGGTTGTTTGCCTGTTGGTTGCGTCCGCCCATTGCTGTAGTTCCAGTCGTTGTCACAGGCACTTGTGATATTTGCGTGGCTGCTTTGGCTGAAATTGTAGCAGGTACGTTGTTGGATCTAATCGATGCTACTTTGGCTCGCAATTCCGCCAGCTGCGTTTCCTCTTGTTGCGCTTGTGCGGCTTGTCCCGTTGCCCTTCTTGCTGGCAATCCTTGACTTTCTCGGTATGCGGCTCTTTCCTTCGCCATACGCTTGCGTTGCTTTTTGGTAAATGCTTGTAGGTGTGTCCAAGAGAAACGGTAGCTAGGATGGTACCAGATCTTCTCTCCATTACTCAGAGTAATTTCTTCTTTGTCGCGACGTTTGTTGCCTCCTCCATCGTTTTGGCTTCTGCTTCTGTTGCGATTGTTGTCAGTCCTAGTTTCGCCCAAGTATCGTCCCCTATCGGTTGCATTGCTGGTTCCCTGGGGAAACTTTTCTCTCACTGCAGTTCGGTAGATTTGTAATGCTGTTGTGAAAGTCATCAACATTGAAAGTCATCTTTTGCCAATCTCCATATCGATTGCCGTCTTGTTCAGTTGTAGGAATGGTGCTGTAACCTTGTTTTGTAGGCTACGCAGTTTCATTGCGTCTGAATGGACTTCTCTCCCCTCATGTTTGTCACATGTTGCATACGCTTTCTTTAACATTTGTTCAAACATGGACCAGTTCATTTTTGGTTTTTCGCCAACGTAACACAGTTCTTTGATGGTGTGTTCGGCTTTGACAATGTCGCTGGCTAGTATTCCTTTGCCTTCGTAGTGGGTACGTAGTGCGTTGAATGCTTCTCTTCCATTGCCTGCAATGTTGATGGCTTGGAGAGTCGCTTCAGCTTCGGTATTGCCCACAATAAGCTTGCTGAGAAGGACTAGGACTTTGGCGTTATCCATGACGTATGCTTTGCCAATGTGTGGTGCCATGTTGATGTAGGTTTCCAAGAAATCTTTGTGCAGGGTGAGCATTCCTGTATCGTTCATTCTCACAATGTAGCTTAGTGGCACACCGTCTCTTCCTGGTATGGTGCAAAGGTAATTTTTGAACGTTGGGCACCAATCTTCCCATTGGACATCGTTGGTGAAATCTTGTGGTAGTGCTTGTTGCGACATCAACTTGGAGCCATACACGTATTGTTCGTGTGTTTTCATGCGTCTGAGCAGTTTGGCTGCATCAATGACGGGGAATGGCGTTGTGGTAGGGTCTCGTCCCATGCGAATCTCGTCTCTGCACCATTGGATGAATGCGCGGATGTTCTTTTTGATAGCTGGCATTAAGCGTATCTGTCCTTGCGCAATCGTCAATCCTGCAAGGGCCTTGAACTCTTCGTCTAGTTTGTCAATGGTGCTGTCCATCGTTGTGGTAAAATCGTCCGAGAATATTTTGTAAGCAATTCTCTCGGCTTGTGTGCGTCCTTGGAAGAGGGTGACATTGTCAATGCCACAGATGACCATGCCGTCGTGTACAGTGAAGAAAGGAGGAACGGCGGCCATGTTGCCTGTATCAATGTCATACATCAAGTTGTTAGTTCACATTTCTTTTCATTCATAACAGTTTTTGTTGGTGTTGTTCAGCACGATTTGTAACAGTTTTTGTTGGTGTTGTTCAGCACGATTTATGGCAGTTTTCGTTGGTGTTGCTCAGTACCATTTGTGGCAGTTTTTGTTGGTGTTGCTCAGCACCATCATTCGTGACAGTTTTTGTTGGTATTGCTCAGCACCGCTCATCATAATGTTCATAACATTTGATGTCATTTCGTATTTGTGATCATGTTCATTATTACATTCATAACGTTTGATGGCATTGCATTTTGATACATTTCAATACATTTCAATACATTTCAATACATTTCAATACATTTCAATACATTTCAATACATTTCAATACATTTCAATACATTTCAAATGTATTCATTTTTGTTTCGTTCGTCGGATAGCTTTTGGCAGTTATTGCTGGATCTGATAAACCACATAAATGTAATCGTTATGTTATTACGAAGGTGTTGACTTACGAAGTAGTAGATGTTAAAGATAGTAATGTAGATCAAATCGTATTCTTAAAAAGAGTGTTGTTATCGTCGTTTCATCGACAGGCTTCCGCGAAGGCCGATCCCGTTCACTTACGGACACGAACCATTGCATGCGTGTGCAACAGCACGGTAGCCTTCATTTGATATTGCTAAATCCTGATTTGCACGATCCCATCCAAGAAACACGATTTGGCAGAAGAAACACAATAGATTACGTAACACTAAACAATTTTGATGGACAACCACAAATTGGAAGAACGATGAATATCCCTACCCCAAAGAAAGGTGTCGAGATCCGATTCATTGCTGGAAAGTATGCTGGCAAGAAAGGGTGGGTTAATGATGCCGCAGGGCCGACAATGTGGTTACTCCCGTGATTGTCGATCTACCAAAGAAAAGAGAGCAAAAGGCTACATATGTCAACAACGAAAACTTCAAGATGGAAAGTGCTTACAGCGTTCCTAGCTCCTATGCTAGGGCCGTTGTCCAGCAGCGCCCCAATATAGAAAAGATCCTTGTGACCGTATGCCGCCAGTTGGCGAAGTTCGACATCAACAAGGACCCAGATGGATTTGCCGGGCTTTTGATGGAGACCCTCGGGGACGCTGAGGCCTGGAACAGCAACAAAGGAATAAAATTTGACGCAAATAATGGTATGGTGGAGTAGTTGTCTTTGAATCTAGAAGATATCTGTTATCCAATTCATATTTTTGTCGCTTGTCCTCATAGAAGATTCCAGCAACAGAGACTTCCACTCTATTATTACCGACTTAGAAAGAGAGGCTATGGCTGAGATTGTGGAGCGAAATACAATGTTGCTAGGCTTGGATAAGAGATCTGATGAATAGTGTTTGAGCATACATGATATCTGTTCCCGGTACAAAATAAGACTTAGTTTTTAAAATCGACTTCACATCAATTCATTCTTGCAACATAGTGTGACAACGACGGCACATCGATTCTTCACTGAGATCTTAGAAAGGTTTGACGGGTACTAGATTTGACAAGGGGGAGCCGATGAATATGGTTGACACTAAACACTAAACAATTATATTTTTTAAAGATCTGGAGATGCTAGCAGCTGCTCCCAGCATTAGACTAGGTGGCAAACAAAGAGCCGACATCAAATTGCTGCTTGTGTGCTACCTTCAAACTGTTGGTGCACTTTCGAGCAATCTCCCATGAGCAAGGGGGGCGTTGACTTGAACGCTATTAACATTGTCCCCGAGTGGAAGGACTGTCATCACGACCTCAGAAGCATCATTCGACAGACAGGCATTATCAAGCTCCCAGTCTTCGGGAATAACCATTTTCCAAAAGGAGGTGCCGCACATTGGACTCAACTTAAGGTGTGCAACTGTCTGGTGGTGGACATTCCTGATATCAGATTTGGCAGCCAAGGGGTTTTCAGGGAGGTTGGGCAGCCGCTTCATAATATGCAAAGGTCGGGTTGGGCCCTGGAAGATAATGCAACCATCATGCATATATGCACTCTGTGACTGCAAATCTTCCATTCCGATCTCTCTTGTAAGTACCATAGTTTGACAATGGTAACCATTGCATACCTTTCTTGGATTGTGCTCAACGATAAAGCCTTTGTGGGCTTCCGGAAATTGAAAGTCCACATTGATCTGATGCCGGTTGAACGCTGTTCCTTCCCTGTCGTAATTGACACCACGAGAGCCTCCGGCAAACAAAGACAAGGTGTCAGTGGAAGCCAGAGATGGGGCAGGAGAGTTGGTCATGTTCTCGGGAGCTCTGACCGTCGCCGGAGGAGAAAAACCAGGTTGGGGAAACAATGGGGCGGTCTTCTGGTTTGGACTCATCTGTGTTGGATTGGAGAAGGAACAAGTATTAGCGGAATTTGGAACAAACGATGAAGATGATGGTGGCTGTTGTCTCCCAGGGGTCCCTTGGGTGGCAGTAGAGTCGATTTGCATGGACTTCCCAAAAGCTATGTCAAGATCACCGATACCACCATCTCCATTGTTATTCAAGGATTCCGCAGCATGACTTGTCACTGTGGATCTTGTCACTGTGGAGTCCGGTTATGGGAATCTCCCTTCCTGATTAAACCTCATCTGTGTTGCTCTACCGGGTAGAACCCCACGATTGTTCAGAAGTTCCATGTAACTCCTGACATTTCTCCTTTTTGGATTCCCCCAAAGGGAAGAGGGTCCCAAAAACTTCCAAGCATCTGTCTCTTGAGAACGATGGCCCTGTTCTGACACCAGCGCAACAGCGCCGGGCCCGAGAATTGGAAAGGAAGCGAAAAATGGACCTGGAGAATAATGTCCCAAGCCCGCTGTTCATCATGGTTCTACCTGGCAAAATGGAAGGGACTTATCTCTTCATCAGCCAGTTGAAGTACGCAGCATTGGCAACAAACGTTTTGAAAGGACTGGTTCCGTTCTTCACTCATCATTTGGGAGAATCAACGACTACTCGATCCAACAGAGTTCTGGGCAAATGGTTCCCTAAGTCTCTCATCCATACGACACGCCGCAAGGAACTTGTGTGGTGCTTGGAGACTCTACGGGCACAACCAGGCGACCAAACTCAGCAGGGCGTTGACGAAGCTATCGATTTTCTGGATGGGTTTGGCTCTGATCCTCTTGATGTCGGTGAAGCAAAGTTGGAATTTGATATGGATATGGCGGACGCTAAAGATATTGAC